TCTTCCAGAATCAAGAGACCACTAAACGTAGATTTTAGAGAGTAGATTTTTAAGTCTGTTATTAGCATCCCTTCAGCATCCAAGTGTTCCGCACACCCTTCTATGTAGCCTGTACCTGCATCTTTAAGTTAAAAAAAAAATAATCTTTGCATGTAATGGGAAATAGTTCATAATGTTCTTTTTCAAGTTGCAATTTACTTAACATTAGAAAGGCTCCCTAGGTCTCTTACTGGTAGAAATTCCATCTTAATTCAATTTCTTATTACAGAAAGTAATCTCATTGAAGCATTCTAATTGAAGCATTAACTGCTAGAAATTATACATGTGGTCAGTGCATTAGAAAAATCTGCTGCTGAGGTAACCCTTTTCTGAACACAAGACGACATCAATAAAATAGCCAGAAACAGATCTGAAGCTCTGCCACAACTTCCCCCCCCCGCCAGACAATAGGAACATTTAGGTCTGATTGCCTTACGAAGTGCTGAAGTAAGTCTTGGCCATAGCTTGATAGATCCGAGTTTTATTTTTCAGTCTACACATACCACACTGCCACAGCAATGAATTTTAAATCCATGTTTAAAGTCCGTATCTTAATGCCTAAAAAATATTTGATTATCAACTCATAAATCTCAGTTTGCATTTAACATGTTTAAGCAGCCAAAATGGGACAGGGCACTATCACAAATACATTCATAGAAAGTATTTAATGAAAATACGTACATATTTACAAAATATTTACCTTTGTAAAATGAATCACAGAATCACAGAATTTTCAGAGTTGGAGGGGACCTCTAGAGATCATCTAGTCCAACTCCCCTGCTAAAGCAGGATTGCCCAGAGCACATTACTCAGGACTGCATCCAGGCGGGTTTTGAAAATCTCCAGAGAAGGAGACTCCACACCCTCCCGGGGCAGCCTGTGCCAGTGCTCTGTCACCCGAACTGTAAAGAAGTTTTTCCGTGTATTGGAACAGAACTTCCTATGTTCCAGCTTGCACCCATTGCCCCTCGTCTTGTCACTGGGAACCACCGAGAAGAGTGTGGCTCCATCCTCCTTCAACCATAATAAGGTCTCCCCTCAGCCTTCCCTTCTCCAGGCTAAAGAGTCCCAGCTCTCTCAGCCTTTCCTCATAAGGGAGATGCTCCAATCCCTCAATCATCTGAGTTGGCCTTTGCTGGACTCACTCCAGCAATTCCCTGTCCCTCTTGAACTGGGGAGCCCAAAACTGGACACAGTATTCCAGTTGTGGCCTCACCAGTGCCGAGTAGAGGGGGAGAATGACCTCCCTCGACCTACTGGATACACTCTTCCCTATGCAGCCCAGGATTCCATTGGCCTTTTTGGCAACAAGGGCACATTGCTGGCTCATTGACAATTTACTATCTACAGGCAGAAGATAGAAGCAAACACAAATCAAATCTTAAAAAAAAGCTTCAGACACATTGCTGTGTTATTAATTTGGAAAAAGCCTCGCAGTGTGAAGCTGGTGAGAAGAGGACAACAGCAAGAGGCGGAGAGCAGCAACTGCTTACTTGGCAGTAACTGAGACCAAACAGTTATCGTCTAACTTATGTTTGACTGAACATTGGCTGAGGAATTGACACTATGAAAGACTAATGAATTGCTACCATACTGTTACTAATTGCCTGCTTATTGAAAATTATGGAAAAGCTTAAAATCTTCAGTTAGTAGTTAAACACAGTTTCTATTTCTTTTCTTAATGGAATAAATTGTCAACTTACTAATAGATAAAAATATTTTCATGTATTTAAGAGCTTGGTTCAATGAGTAGAGAAAAATTCTCATTTAATTAAGAGAATGTCCCTGAAACTATCTGTAAGTGCTTCAATAAATCTAGCATACATTTATATGATTTCCCTTATCCAAATATTATAAAAATAATCCTGGCCATACTTTACACGTCATACTAGGCTTTCTCCTGACCTGAGCATATGAGGACATAAAAGTGGGAGGCGTGTTAGCCTTCAGAGAAGGTTTATCACACCAAACAGAGCAGTGAGGTCAGAACTGTGATTATAAAGCTGGCTGGCAGTAAAGGCCTGAATTTTACGCTATCGTCTAAGCTGATACTACAGCTATTAAAAAGACAACATTCACAGAAAACGATAAGGAACTGTCATTTCAGTGCCTTCAAAAACTTCATCACAGTACTACCAATATGGTGAGGTCCCAGGAGAAATGTGTCCTGGGGCCGAGAGAGATACATAAGTGAGACTGGCAACACTGGAGTGGAAAAACTAGTTATACTGAATTGGAAAAACGGGCAGATATTGCTGCTAGTCTGATATGCTGCATGACTTCAGCAGAGGTCACATCAAGTATTCAGACTGAGTGTGGCAAACATCCCAGAAAGCCAACAGACAATGGGGGTAGTTACATCTGAAGAGCCTTCTGTCACAGGTAAGTTCTGGACAACTTCCCTATGGGCTCCAAGCACAGGACAGCAATGATCACCTGGTTCTATTCATCTTGAGCCCATGTTAAAATGCATCTAAATTCAAATGAATGAATTTATTTTTTTTTGCCTCTGGCGTGATTATAATTGTGAGATACGGCCTCCGGAATGAACCCTTCCAATTTTTCAGAATGAAGTAGGTATTCTGCTTCCCATTTTGATATCACCTTTTAAAAAACAACTTCTTAATCAAGAAGAGGAAGGAGAAGATTAGGATAGGCAGGAGGCAGAAATGAGTAGGTTCCTCATAGGTGTTAGATATTCATTGGTCTCAAGGACTACAGAAAAGAGTTAGCAAAAGGAGGGAAGGAAAATGGATGCTGTTTGTAACTCGGTGATGGCCTCATTTTCTGTCACAAGCACACCACCGAAGAAAAGGTCAAGGACTCGATGTACTGAAAGCCCTGCATCTCTGAGATATTTACAGTTACAGAAGGCAAGTGGTTGAAGGCTTTCCCCAGAATATAGTTTGCTTCTTTCTGAACTTGCGTAGTTTCACATTATTTTAATGAGTACAAAGCAGAGGCTTGTAAGCCTAAGGGAATGAAAAGCTTCATGAACCCTCACAGACTTTCCAATCCTCAATGGAAAAGTTCTAAAAGCTGCTCTGCAATCTCTCTGGATATCCCAGTCTCCGAGGCTCTGAAACTACATGCTGCTTAAAGGAACATCTTATAATGCCCACAATCTCACAGATGTCTTCAGTCTACAGACACTTCTCAGCAAACAGTGACACCTTACTCCGCTCACATATTTAGGTTGGCAAACCAGCGCTTAATACTAGATACGGCTAAGCAGAAATTAGTAACAAAAGGACAGAAATACTATAATGACTCCTACAATGTTACCTTAACCTGTAAAAGATACAGTTAAGGCACTTTGATAATATACTATAAATAGGCAGGTAAAAAAATACCATGCATTAAATTTAACATACAATACACTAATGGTTCATGGCCTAGCAAGACTTTATTCTAATGAATCTCCATTTTAAAAGAGGAGTCACAGAAAATACGGAATTTTAAAATGGACCAGCTAGCATCGCTTTATCAATTACAGCTTTAAATATCTCTACCCCAGTTAAGATACCTTGTTTGGAAGATAAGTGATCCAGTTCTAGAGAACGTTCTTTTTAGAAGTTATTTAGCACAGCACTATTTTTCTTTGTAGTGCTATTTTCTAATTATTCTCTCACAAGTAAAGCATACATCAGGATACTGATTCAAACAGCTGTTATTTCCATGCCACTTCTATATGCATATGCTATAAATAGCAGATATATATAAATATGAAGTTGCTCAAAGAGGTTTATTTTCTACCACATCACCATGCATTCTACAGTGCATGGCCTGGAAACAGGCTGTTAAATGAGGACTAATTCCTTTGAAAGCATTGTGAAATAACCACTTATTTGCACTTTGTCTAGTCAAGTATAGCCAGGAGACATTTATATACATTGCTCAAGTACTAGTTCTCATGACATCAGTAAACTACATTAATTTCTTTTGAATTATTCAGGTACGTGTGTAAATGTTTGTACTAATGACATTAAACTTTCTGCATAAAGCTATACATGTTACACAACAAAATAGGTTTCTGATCAAAAGGGCAATGGTTGAGATTTTAATTAGATGGGTTTTTTTGGGGGGGGGGTGTGAAAGAAGAGATGGAGAAGGTATATGAAAGAAAGGTTGAGAGGAAAGCAAAAAAACGTCTAAATAGCAAAACCATTTTCTGGAACTCAGGAACTCCTCTTCCACTGTGGTCTGAATAACAGACAGTCCAGACAGCCTATGGTGTAAAGAGGGCATGCTAAAACCTTTAAGATATATAAAACATTAAAAGCATTGCCCTTGAAAATGTAATTTCTCTCTAAGATTAAATCCATTTTTGTGACTATAGTTTTGATTTAATAAACTTTTTTATGTCAGTGCTCTGTAAGTTCAGTTTAAATTCAGTTTACCCTAACAATTCATAACTGTCTATAATTTTCAGTCATGTACAATGTAAAGTACTTTGATATGTTTTTTAATGTTTACTACAATAAAGTCAAGATAAATATGTATGCATTCTTGAGATACACTGTAGGTTGTTAAAATTTTAGGATTAATTCTGAAGGTTTCATAAAAATATTTTAATTGTCTAATTGTTAAACAGTTATATGACCACAAGGATAGGTTTGGGAAGAGTAGAATATTATTCTCGGTTTTAGTTGAGAATTAAAAATCTACTGACAATGTGATTTTTCAGAAACCTAATATAACACATTTAAGAGGTACATAACTATTTTGCCAAATGCACTGTAAATGCCTTTATGGTAGTACATATAACCTGAACTTTTATTAGGATGAAACAGTTCAAGCCTGAGAAGGTGATGAGAGATGACCACGTTTGCTGTAGATTCTGGGTACAAGACTCAATTAGATACTAATGAAAAGGACTCTACAGAATTCTAAAGTGATAGTTAGGATCATCCCCCCAAAATCATACACTTTATGCATGATATAACAACAGCTTGACTTACATATTCACCGTACGTCTCCTGTGCTGGAGGTGGTGGAAGGGGCCGGTAGCCTGCAGGTGGAGGTACTCCTCTTGCTCTGGGTGCGAGAAGTCCACGGCTACGACTGACTGGTCCTCTACTGGGAGGCGCTCCCCTGGGTGCTGGTGCCCCTCTCGGTACTCCCGCTGGTGGTGGAGGCACTCCTCCACGGCCCCTGTGAATATATGGATCACTTACCATTAAACACTACACCCTTGGCCTCCCTTTCAACAGCTCCCTCCCCCACATCATGACAATTTTGCTTTGCTCCAGCCAGGAAAAGTCTAAACCAGGTTTTTAGTTTGTCTTTTTTTCTGTATGCTTTAATCCAATTACACGTATTATGCAAAAAATGCTGGAAGATACAAACTAGACATGTGATTCAGTGATGAACTTCTCGCTAGCTTGAGCCATTCTCGCACACACAGAGACACCCAAACCAATTTGCTGGAATTGGTCAACTTCACTAGAATTTGACTTACACAATCACAAAATAACAGGTTAATGTGAAGCTGTCAGGCTATATCCTACTCAAACCCCGCACAGAGGAATCAGTTGCGACTCCCTTCTGATCCTGCATAAGCTAAACACAACCCAAAGATCACACTGCCTGTAAGAGATTGAGTGGGTCAGAAAAATTACATTTTCTCCTGGTTCTAAAGAAGAGATTTCCAGCTGTTGCAAGAAACATTCAGACACGTAATAAATGTGCAGGGTGATTATAGGATATAACCTGATATTCTATACATATGAAAGAACAATAACTATATTCAGTTTTTAAGTTCTGAAAGAATGATAAGCATTAACTTGCATTTTATTACTTTGGACACTTAACATATAGATGAAAAATCTGAGACCTAAACCAGAACAATTTTCAAAAATATCTGATCCATTTAGAGGTGGTGTTCCCCCCCGCCTCCCTATAGTAAAGGGAGAGACTTAGAGGTACAGTCTGTGAGAAATTTGCATCATTTATCCTCTTTTAAACAGGATAGCTAAGACATTGCTAACAGACATCTCCTTTTTAAAGGAGCTCATTTCACCCCATGGACTATCATTGAGTTTAATTGGGTTTAAATGACTGCTCTGTATACACATAGACTTGTTCCAACGAATTCATACCCTTATTGTATACTGTAACAGATATATAGAAGAAAAACAAGCACAAGCTCTACACACTAGTTTTCTACCTATCAAGCCATCATCTAATTAATCTCAACAGTAGTAATTGAGTGAAAATACTCTGTCCTGATTTAAATAGAAATTTGCAACTTAAATAACATTATAGAGATCTAGATTTGGCCTTAAGATTTCCTATTCCATTTCAATAAGTCATATAATTTCTCATTGGTAAACTTATGGAAAAAATATGATAATTTTATCACAAGTAATTAGTCTTTGGAAAACTGCATCACTAAATGAAGAATGCAAAAACATAAATACTTGATACAATCAGGATAGACTTTATTAATTCTAATTACTGATCAAAACACAGTCACAAAGTATTTTAAACAAGCCTAGAGAGTAAGTGATTTAAAACTGTGCTTATTACTTGGTTTTGGCTAATCTGTAGAATGCCTCCTCAGGACAGGGTACCAGCTGCTTATTTGACTTCATGGTAGTGGGGGCAGGGGTGAGCAGTGAAGTTCCCAGACACAGCCTGCTGAAGTAATATAAAGAAATAGCAAATGTGATACTTTCCAAGTGAAGCCAAAGAAAGGGAAATGAACCTGTTGGCATAGACAATAGTCAATACCAAGTTAAAAAAAACAAAAAAAACTCAGTAAAAAGACTCAAGAATCACTGAATCACTAGCCATAATCTTCACGGCATCCTTCTGACAGGGTGCAAGTGAAAGCAGCAAGAAGTGGGACATGCTAAAAAACATGGAAAAACATTTGAGGGAGGGGGGGAAAAAAAAAAGTACAGTTTTTAGAGCCAGCAGAGATTTATTCTTAGAGAGTAATTAGAACATGTGATGAGAAGGTCTTTTATGCATTTCAAAAACAGTTAGTAAGACTGGAGTGATGATGGGTGGGAAATCATACTTTTTGGGTGGGTGGTTTTTTTTTTTGGTTTTTTTGTTTGTTTGTTTGTTTTAGAGTTACTGTCAGAAGAATAAAAAATCTGAGATGTATAGCTCTGTATTACACCACTCAGATGGCTACTGCACCAGGCTGGAGGAGACTAGGAAAGTGCAGAGATAGGAAACCCAGTAACAGGAGAGTTCAATTACCACCATGCAGATTTGAGTCATTAGGGTATGATGCTAAGAGCAAATTTTTAGAAACTGTAAATTGTTATGTCGCTAAGAAGTTGGCAGGGAACTAAAGAAATTTGACTGACTTTAAAAATGAACAGAAACTGACTCAAAATATTGAGGAACCACTTGAATAGGAATCTTTGTAAAAACAACAGATCAGTTCTGGTATTGCTTAGTTTGATAAAGGGTAGCTATACAAAAGTTGTGTTTAAAAAGATTTAGAAGTAAAATTTATATATACAATATGGGAAGACATTTAGAGAAATCCCATGGGAAGTCAGAGAAAATACAAAACTGTCAAAAAAGAAAAAGCTTAAGAAAGGTCAAAAGGAGCTCAGGAAGGCTGGGACAGCAGGGTAAGGAGAGGTATCAAAAGAGGTATCACTTGAAAAACTGAACCGATCTCTAACCTGAAAGGACAAATGCCAATAAAACAAATGTGAAAGAAAAGCAGGTCAGAGATAATTTAAAGAATTTGTAAAAAGCCTACAAAATAAAAGTCCTTCAAACATTCTGAAATTAGGAAACCTGCCAGAGTGAGGTCAAATCACCGGTGAACAACAGTATGATATGTATATATGTATGCATACATTAAGTTTTTTTGCTACACAATCAAGAAAGTTTGGACAAGGTTCTCATGGTAGAGCCTTTCCTTATGGGGAATGCATTGGATGGTGCCACCAGCTGTCTTAGAGACAAATTACAGAAGAAAAGGAGCAAATAAAAGCAGGTGCACCATCTTTCTGTAAGGCACAACAGGAGTTCAGACACCTAGCTCTAATCTGTAGCTGAATCCCAACCTGACTGTTAAGGAAAGGAAAATAGCAACATTCAAAGGAACAAAGTATAAGAGGGGACACTTGGGAGTTAATACGCACACAAATTTATATATCCTAACATTATACAAAGTAATAGGGTCTGTGCTATCACTGCCCATAGAACATCTAGAATTAAGATTGGCCCAATGGTCAGACCAGTAAAAAAAAAATATACAGATTCAGAAAATATAAGAGAACACAGAAAACTTCATTACCCGACTGTGTGTATTCACAGTCTTGTTTCTTAAATTGGAAAGAACCTTAAAGAATTGGAAGTGCATCAGAAATTATGTCAAAGATGACCAACAGTACAGAACAACTTACATATAAAGGAACAATTAAGTAGATTACAGCACTTATACTACAAATGACAACTGAGGTTCATACAATAGAATTCAATAGAAACACCAAAGGAACAGAGAAGGCTGAGGGGTGACCTCATGACAGTCAACTTCCTCAAGGGGAGCAGTGGAGCAGGAGGTGCTGATCTCTTTCTGGTGACCAGTGACAGGGTACAAGGGAATGGAATGAAGCTGTGTCAGCACAGGTTCAGATGGGACATTAGGAAGAGTTTCTTCACTGAGAGAGTGGTTGGTCACTGGAGCAGGCTCCCCAGGGAAGTGGTCACAGCCCCAAGCCAGTCAGAGTTCAAGAAGTGTCTGAACACCACTAAATCATATGCTTCAGTTTTAGGTAGTCCTGCAAGGAGCAGAGATTTGGACTCAAGCCTGATGGGTCCCTTCCAACTTGAGATATTCTAAGGTACATCAGGAATTATTCAGCAGTTTTCAGTGTGAGAATCGAGGGATAAACACATAGGGATAGAATATAAAATCAGATTGTCTTAAGACCTGAGCCACTATGACTGCTCTGATGAAGTGCAATCACTGGATGACAGAATGGTTTGGATTTGAAGGGATCGCCAGAGGTCATCTGATTGAACCTCCTGCTCAAGCAGGGCCACCTAGAACCAGTCGCCCAGGACCATGTCCAGGTGGACTTTGAATGTCTCCCAGGACAGAGACTCCACAACCTCTCCGGGCAACATGTGCCAGTATCCTGTCACTGGGCACCACACAAAAGAGCCTTCTCTTTCCAGGTTGTATAGACCCAGCTCTCAGGCTTTCCTCATAGGAGGGATGCTCCATACCTTTCATCATCTTTGTGGCCCTTCAATGAACTCTGCAGTATATGCCCATGTCCTTCTTGTACTGGAGAGCCTAGAAATGGATACAGCACTCCAGGTGTGGTCTCACCAGTGATGAGCAGAGGGGAACAATCACCTCACTCAGCCTGTGAGCAACAATGATGCAGCCCAGGATACCATTACCCTACTTTGCAGCAAGTGCTGGCTCAGGTTCAACTTGGTGTCCACCCAGGTCCTTTTCTGTCACGCTGTTTTCCCGCTGGGTGGCCTCCAGAATGGGGTTGTTCTTCCCCAGCTGCAGGACTTCACGCTTCCCCTTGTTAGGCTTCATGAAGTTCCTGTCAGGCCATTTCTCCAGCCTGTCAAGGTCCCTCTGGAGAGCATCACAACCCTCTGGCATATCACCCACTACTCCTAGTGCAAACTTGCTGAGGGAACACCCTGCCCCATCATCCAGATTAATGAAGTTAATCAGGCTGGATCCAGTATTCACCCCTGAAGTACACTGCTTGTTACTGGTTTCCAGCTGGAATTTGCACCACTGATCACCACCCTCTGGACACAGCCATTCAGTCAAATTACAATCCACCTGTCTCCTCATCCAGCCCATACACCACCAGTTTCTCTATGAGGATCACATCTCTCATATGAAGAAAGGCTGAAGGACTTGGGTCTCTTTAGTCTAGAGAAAAGAAGATTGAGGGGGGATCTTATTAATACTTACAAATACTTAAAGGCAGGATGCCAGGGGGATGGGAGCAGTCTTTTTTCAGTGGTGCCCAGTGATAGGACGAGGGGTAATGGGCATAAACTTGAACATAGGAAGTTCCATCTTAACATGAGAAGGAACTTCTTTACTTGGAGGGTGGTGGAGCATTGGAAGAGGCTGCCCAGAAAGGTGGTGGAGTCTCCCACTCTGGAGACATTCAAAACCCACCTGGATGCTG